AGCCTGCTCCGTCATCATCTGTGTCGGGATCCGTCTCCATTGATGCTCTTTTCCCTTGAATATGGACAAGTAGCAGTTTCTTTCTATAAGCAGGGCAAGGCTGATCTTATCCTGAGTCGGGTGAATTACACACTGTAGACACTCCAGATTTTGTTACGTTCCTCCAAAGAGGAACTTTTTGCAGGGAGTTTTCTTGTCTTAAGTCAAATTCCAACTGCAAATAGTCTTGGGTGTAGTGAGTGGCTATTGAAATTTCACCTCAGTTCTCTGAGCCTGACTGGCTGCTGGGAAACCTTCTAGCACTTGTGCAGTGTAGGCGTCACACAGACTTGCGCTGAGAATCACACAAAGCGCTGTGCTCTTCCCGCGTTATCTTTCTCCTTTCCATGATGTCTGTCCTCATTTTTCAGTTTCCATTGTTGTACCACATTCTAGCCTCTGGTTTTTCAAGCCTGGGATAATGAGGGTTTTTTTTAATGTCTATTTTAGCCACCTAGAACAGCACATACCAGGGCCTATCTTAGTCTAAAAGGCATAATAAAAGCTCAGAGAGTACAGTGTCCTTCCAGATGGTGACCCCAACAGTAATCTCCATTTTCAGTCTCTCTCCAGTGCCCCCAAATAGTTTTTAGTTTTTGTCCAGAGTTTATGGTCATTATCTGCAGGTTGCTTGGCCCAATAGGAGCTATTCTGTCATCGCAAAAAACTGGAAACACTGAAGCAATGCTTTTAGTAGCAAAAAAATAAAAAGAAAAAAAATTTGCAAATAACCCAAATGTCCATCAGCAGAGGCATGGCTGCATAAACAGTGCTGTAAATCAGGAAAGGAGTGACACTGACACCGCAGAGGACCAGCTGCCCTGGAGCCACAGTGTGGGTGACCATCAGCACACTAGGTGTAGGGCCTACACTGCTGCAAAAAGACTATTTGGTGATCATGATGCCCGAGCACCACGAAGGGTCACCACAGCTCACTTGCGCTGCCATCAGGTCGGGGCGGATCCGCAGCTTTTCTGCAGGGATGAGATGGCGGTGCTTCAGCTCTAAGGCCGGAGTGTCTCTGCCACGACGACTCATCTCTGCTGTCAGGGCATGAAAGCCCCACAGAAGCCGATGAACAGGATGCCTGTCCCCAGAAATGGGCAGAGGGGTGGGTCTGGTCCATGAGCCACCATAGCTACTGTTCCCTGGCCTAGACGGCTCTCAGAAGCACCTGCCTTTCTGCAGGAGCTCATGGTTCAGGCTGCTCGGCCCTTGGTCACCACACCGTGTGGACAGAGGGCTCCTCGAAGAGGAAGGCAGCTATGGAGGCGGGTGTACGCCCACAGGTCACTGACGCAGCCCTGAGGTCACACACACGACTCCCACCTGGAGCCTGTCAGTCAGGATTCATCCTATGACCCTAACCAACAACGAGAAATCTGGGAACGAGACAAGAACACCTGTGGCCACCAATAATGTCTAACTTAAGATGATACTAAGTAAAAAAAAAAAAAGCAAGTCTCAGAAGATAATGCATAACATAAAGAGCATATTAGAGAGTGAAACCAGTAAAGCTTAACTATATAATAGGTATTTAAAATATGTGATGACAATACGAGGCAGGGGACATAAATGTGATGGACTCAAAATTAAACACAATGCTTGTCTTTTGGGAGACATAGGGAAAGAATACATAAGTACATTTAAACTTTTGGTATTATTTCAACTCTTGGACTGCACCATGTGCTCAAGAATGTTGATTATTATGAAAGAAAAAAATCCTTTATGAAAATAACCCATTTGGAGATTATATGTGTAACAGTTAATTTTATATAACTGGATCATGACATTTTGATTGGATCATGAGATACCCAGATATCTGTTTAAATCTTTTATTCTTGGATGGATCAGCAAAGATGTTTCTGGGAAGGATTAGCATTTCTGGGGGTAGACTGAGTAAAGCAGATTGTCCTCCCAATGTGGGAAGACATCATTCCATCGACTGAGGTCCTGAGTAGACCAAAAACGCTGAAGCAGGTGGAACTGGTTCTCTGGAATCTCAGTCTTTTCTTTCCCTGGTGTTCTGGTGCCCAAGCCTCCAGATTTGGGCTGGGATCTGTCTCATCAGCTCCTAGGCCGCCCTGGTGTTCCCCCTGGGTCTCCAGCTTGTGTATGGCAATCTTGGGGTCTCAGTGCCCAGGCCTCATGATAAACCTCTTTCCAGATGAACATGTCCTATTGTCTCTGTTTTCTAAAGAACATTGGCAAATACACTGTTACTTCTTCCAAAACAACACCTTCAGAGCAAGTTCCATCTCGGTGCTGCCTGTCTGCACTGCACCTGTCCTGACTGCGACTGAGGGAGTTTCTAAGTAATTCTATTTATTGAACAGCCATTGCCCCCATATTCCGAAAAGTCCAAAGGAAAATGACCATGTCTATCTTGCTCTTAGTATCTCCCCAATTCCCAACATAATTTCTTTATCAGCATTTAGTAAATATTCTTTGAATGATTAAACTTGAAAGCACAGGAAAAAAATGATGAAAGGAAAATTACCCAAATCCCTCATTCATCAAAACAACTCCAGGCTATTTCATTTCAGATTTTTGCTATGAATTTTTGTATCCTTACATAGTCACAATGTGTGTGCATTTCTGTACACATTTCTGGTAGTATTTCAGGATAATTTTGCAAGGTTTTAGTGATTATTGAAGAGATAATATTCAGCTTTGATTTGATTGAGAACAACATTCAACTATGATCTGAAACGGGCTACAACAGTCTGCATTTGGATTTTTGGTCTTGTTATTTTTGGATTTTTGGGTTTTGTTGTTGTTAATAGGTACTGCAAGTAGTGTATCAAAGAAAACTGTTGAGATAGACCTTTTTGGACAGAGCCACAATAAGTGAAAAAAGACCTTCATGCTTCTGGAGGGGTGGTACCAAGAGGCACAGCAGGATAGCAATGCCCTGATGGGTAAACTCCAGGCACAGAGGCAGGGAAGAGCCATTTCCAGAATGTTTACACAAGAACGAGTTATGAGGACAGCCCCAAGCCACGTGCCCTGCACCTGCTATTGCCCTGAGTAGAAACCCCCCAAATCCAGGTGGTGGGGACTCAGCAACCGGTGCTTCCAGGAATATCTCCACGGACTCCAGGCCTCTTAACTTTAGCCCAGACCTGCTCATGTCCAGAAAAAAATAACCAAATCCATTTTCCTTAAAAGCTACATGGAAGAAAAAATACAAATCTGAACAGTGTAGAAGAGTGGCAATAAAATGCTCTTTTTAAAGATAACAGAATATGTATACAAATTTGGGATGTTCATAATTATTAACTGCTATTTTTTAAACTCATGGAGAAAGGAAATAAAGATTTTAAACTTTGGAAATTATTAAAGGAAAAAACATACATTTTGAAATACACATTATATTTGTATTTTTAATGATAGGAATGAGAGTAGTTACTTCATTTTAATATAGAGGAAATACATGAGAACAAAAACTAAATTTGCTTTTATGGGGGCACAGAAAAAACAAACAAACGTGGTTTTGTGCAAAGACCAGACCCAATTTAACGCTGTACCATTGTAGCTGCAGCAGGAAATAATGTCCACAGCTCTTATTGGTGGTTTTAACCAATATCTGTTATCCTCAAAAGGCCAAGAAGAAATGGTTTAGGCTAGTGGTAAGGGGAGCATAGAATTCTTCCTTCAGATGAAAATTTTACTCTAAAGACTGATATTTTAAATGGTTAAAAACACTGCTCTTCTTGTGAAAGCTGGTGTGCCAGACCCCGTCTGTGGTTTTCCTGACCCCTCTTTGCACGTTCACCTGCGGAGAGGCCTCCAGGGCCAGTGGGAATGAAGCCCCAGGGGAAGGCACAAGCAAAGGGCGATGGAAATGGGGCAGGGTAGGGGGCACACTGGTACCACCAAACTACAGAACGTCCCATGGCAATGATGCTCACCCCTGCTCTTTCCAAGGGTGTTTATGAAGAATACATTTTTATAAAAACACATTTTCTCATATTTTGTTTTAAATCATATATTCAACAGTGACTCTTTAATGCAATATACCAAACTCTGGCCACATACCTTTTGCACATTAGTGCCAAAACTGCAGGGCAGATATTTCCATTTCTAAATAAAGATTCATAAACCAGGGCTCAAAAAGTTAAATCTCTTTGTCTAAGTTTAAAAAGCCAGTCACTGGCAGATCTATGTGGCAAAAGTTGTCTCTCTGATATAAAACATGTGATATTTTCTTTATAATATTTTGCCTTCTGATGAGAGTTTCCCTGTAGAAGAATTTTAGAATCACATCTTGTTACCTTTAATCACCAATAAACAAGACTATCTAGCACAGATACAGTGAAAGGCAGGCTTTTCTTTTAATCATTTGAGTAATGCGATAAACAGACGTTCATAGTGCCTGAGTTGCTAAGTAAAAAATATATACATAATTAACTGATGAGGCGTGAGTTTTTTCTAGTTCAGAATCACTGGTGGAAGCCCCGGAGCCCAACTACAGCCCCGGCAGCAGTGATGGAGGCAGCGGACGCACCACAGCTGGAGAGAGCGGGTACATGGGCAGCAAGGCCTGCTCGGGCTGCAGTTTTATCGACCCATCAATACACTGAGTCGGTTTTTTAAAAAAATATTTCTTGTGTGTTATCACCATCGAGAAGAAAATTTGAAATCATATGAATTCATTCATTCTGTGATGGAACTAGTTCAACAAAAAAATTACCATTGCTGTGAATTCTTGCTTATGTGTAGCGTTCAAACAGGATTTCTTCGTAGTGAGATGAAAAATAATATTGGGATTAGGCATGCTGATTAAAGGCTTGCTGATCTTGCAGTAATTTCTCCCTGTGGACGACATCTGAATTCTTAGCGGAGCACAGAGACTAGGATAAGAGACAAGAAACCAGGGGCACAACTGAGGAAGGAGCTTGTTCTGATACCAAAAGCATGTGCTAGATATAAATTTTATTCTGACTTCCTCCCAAAAGGACCTACAGGCATTTACAAGAGCACTTGTGCACCAGGACATGGAAAAATCCAGACATTTCACAGCCCAGGAATACGACTGTGTGCTAATATGAATCCCTAGATCCAGCACACTTTGGCCTGTCGGTCCAAGTGGTGGCTCACTGGAATCAGGTAATATACACAGACTTGACTTAAATGTGTCCAGGTGGCCCACTGGCTCTTTGAACAAACACATAGGTGTTACTCTGCTGCCAAATTAAGATGAGAGTAAGAATCCCCAGCAGCTAAGAGAATGTCCGTAGTAGCTCTCTGTCCTTGGCGAATGAGGCTGAGAGAGCCGGTGAAAGGCCCTGATTCTCACCCTGGCCATTAGTCAGGGTTCCCCAGAGAAACAGAACCAGTGGGATACAGAAAGAGATAAACAGAAGAGGAGATTTACTATAGGAATTGGCTTATGTGGTTATGGAGGTTGAGAAGCCCCACCGTCTGCTTGCTGCCTACAAGCTGAGAATCAGGGGAGCTGGTGGTGCCGCTCATTCTGCGTCCCAAGAACCAGGAGCTCTGATGCCCGAGGGCAATAAAAGGCTGACGGCCCAGCTCGGGCAGAGGGAGGAAATGCCCCTTCCTCCACCCTGGCTTCTCTTCACAACTTCCACGGATTGACGGCGCCCACCCCACTGGCGAGGGCAGATCTGTACCGGTCCACCCGACCAAATGCCAGTCTCCTCCAGAAGCGCCCGCACAGACACACTCGGGGACAGGGCTTTACCAGCTGCCTGGGCACCCTCGGCCCAGTCAAGCTGACGCATAAAATCAGCCCTCGCCCCCTCGATAGCAGTACCACCTGCCTGGGCGGGTCCCGGAGATCAGTACCGCCGACACGCACGAAAGACACAGGCGCGCTGAGCCCGGCCCACGTGATCCGACACGCCCGTCGTCCCGCGCAGGGGACAGGTGCGGCTCGGAGAACGCGTGGGTCCGCGAAACTCCTAGCGAGGGATCGCGGTGCCGGTGTGATCGCTCTTCCTCATTCTAGTCACTTGGTGGCTTCCTGAGCACGTCGACAAGACTCCCAGCAAATTATATGCCAGCACTGATTTCAAATATGTCTTTTTTTTCCCTCCATCCCAAAAGCCAGGAAAAACCAGGATGTGTTTGCAGTAATTTAAGAGGGGGAGTATTACATCTTCAGTAACCTGCCTCGGCGACTCTGTACCTCCCAAGAGCTTTTCGTCTCCTTCCCAAGGCGCTGAGCCGCTCGCTACCTGGAAGACGGCAGGGCCGGAGCACCGTGAACAGAACACAGCAGGTCTGCCAGACGACTTGGGGCGTTGCTGTTGCCGGAGGGTGAGAGTGATTATTATTATGATATAGGGGCTGGATGCCCAGTGAAGTTCCGGGGAATTCAGAGGTCTGGAAATCTCAGGACATGCCTTCAAATGCACCCTTTATTGCAGAGAACAACGTGTGTCCCAGGGTCCATCCTTTCATATTTTATTGTAAAAAAATCATGTTTTGGGTGTGTTGATCAGATTCATTTACTAAGTAGCTCAAAATTTCATCAGCATTGAGAGAAAAATAGAGAAAAGATAATTTGACCGATTTTGGCTGTACAGCTGTAACTCTCCCTGGAACCTTAGGACCGTGGGAACCTGATGCTGCCCCCGAGGGATCTGGCATTTGTGGGGAGCTGAAACACAGAGTCCTGGGTTCTGGGGTAAGGCCAGGCCCTCATGACAAATAACTGTTTTCCTTTACAGAAATAATTCTTGGCTTGCTGCTGGGCCCCGGTAGAGACTGAGTGCCTGATCACAGAACTGGCTGGCAGGGTAACCTGAGCTGCCCGTCAGGAGCTGGTGTTACCAGGTGCTATAAACCAGAACAAACACATGGGCTCCTCAGAAGTAAATCACGAGATACAAACGTGAACAGGCTCTGAAAGCGCAGGTGTGTTATTTTAACAAGCAGCTCCTGCTTCCAGTGTGCCTACTCTGCCACACATCCACCCCTCTGTCCACCCACAGCTGCAGCCAGGGGTGTGCACGGCAAGCAATAGGGGAATGATCCCTGGGACACCCCTCACAGGGTGCCCGGAGAGGGGATGGACGGGCTGCAGCGTTTCAGCCTTACTCACCATCGGGTTACATGGCACCTAATTCTCTCTGCAGAGAGAAGGGTGGTTAAGACGAAGATATGGAGCCGCAGAAGTGGGTGGTGAAAGACTCTATGGACAGAGAGCAACTTGGAAAACGTGATATGTCGGGTTGTTTTCCAGGGTGTTTTAGAAAGAAGCATGTGGGTGGAACCCTTGGACTGGAGCCGAGGGCGGGAGCACCGTGCACCGTGAGGGTGCTCCCCGCAGGCCTCCAGTGAGCAGCGACTGCCGGCCTCATCCTCCGGCCCGGTGCTGCCTGGCCAAGAGATGCCCTGACTCCGAGGGCCGCGTCTAGAGCCTGCACAGCAGCAAACACCTCCCCTCTCCGGGCCACTTGCTCCAGCCCCTGAGGGGTGTCCAGTCCCCAGCCCAAGGGAGAGGCCAAAGAGGACTCACTTTTCCCCGGGGACCCAGTGGCCACCTGACTGGACTGGAGCATTAGACTGCTTTCATCAGCAGGGGAATAACTTATCCTGACTGGGCCAAACATTTCCTAAGGATGTGCCTTCCATCCTGACATGCTCCTCCCAGCAGCCACGTCTCTGAGCTTCCTGGACGCCTGATTCACAGCACTGTTTCTGACCAAAGAACCAACTGCACACAGACAACAATAAAAACACTCACAGAATTTACTGCCTTACCATGTACCTATTACCCCAAATCACCAGACCTTACAGAGAGTTGAAATGTTTGAATGAAAATAAAATAGAACATAATGTCTAATAAAAAGAGGGTGCTGTCCAGGGGGAAGCAGCCTGGGGCACAGGATGCGTCACCCTCTCCCTCTCCCACTGGGTGTCTCCCGTCTGCATCTCTGGGTCCCGCCAGGAGCTCCGAGAGCATCTGGGCAGCACACAGACACGGTCCTGTGCTCACGGCCTGTGGTGCCTGCCCACAGCTTTATTCTTCAGGGTCAGAAACAGAGTGACACGATCTTAATGTGTATTTCTGCCCTACCTTCCTGGTTCACTCTTTCTAGACAGAGTAGGTCGGTGGTGGTTAGCATCGCCCATTTAGTTCCTAGTTTACAGAATGTGAAAAAGCCAAAACTCAAGAAAGAATAATGACACCGCGACTATCTGGACTTGAGGTACGTGTATTAATTGTTAAACTGTTTGCTAACTGCCTTTGGAGACAAAGGAAAGGAGACTTTAGCTTGTCTAGGTAACAGGTGCATCGTCCAAGGAGCATACATCGTTATTACAGGAAGTTAGGCTTGGAAGAGGCATTTTGAATCGGGACAGGGGGAGGACTGACTCTAATAAGCATTTCTCTTTTATCTCCCAACAAGGTCTGAACATCCCTCTCTTGTCCGGGGTATTTTCTATGTTAGATTATTGCCTCCCTAAAATAAAACCCAGACACCTACTTTCCTAAGATCCCCAGCCAGGAAGCATAGGCCTTCTTCACGCGAGAGAGTTCTGTTGGCCAAGTGGAGGCAGAAGGAGCTGCCCTGTGGGACCCAGTCCAGCAAGCGCATCGCCAACGGACAGACACCGGGTCCAGAAGCCTGGGGGGTAGACTGGTGGCCTTACCCAGTGTCAGCATTTTAAGCTGTGCTGCCTGGACTGCAGGGATAAGAGCTGCCAGCAGCACAATCTGACAGACAAATGCATTGCTCTCGAATGTGAGCCAGGGTCTCTGGCTATCCCAGGGATGCTGTGGGCTCCCAACACCCTTTTTAAGAAGTGTGCCTTTCACACCGATAAACCGCAACAGAGTTTTGTTCAATGTTTTACATTACATACATTCATTTGAGTAGGATATTTGCATTAGAGAAATCTTAGATACTTCAAGTTTCTTACTTCGTTAAAATAACACACATACGCATGCACACATGCATACAGATAGCCAACAAAAATTCACCCGCAAATGTTTTGAAGTATAGCAAACTAGACTATGCTGAAAAATACCATTTAAAACCTCTTAACTGAGAAGCTAAAGTTGAACAGATTTCATAAGCCCAGGGGCTGTCTGATACACCATAAAAGCCTCCCGTAATCAGACCTCAGCATATGAAGACAGTTCAGTGCCAGGTTAACAGAAGCAGAAACTGTAACCTCAAGCACTTTGTGGTAAGCACCATCATGGTTTGAAGGCAGGGAAACCATCTTGTATACACTGACATTTAAATTGTCTACTTTGGGGATATACATACACCTGAAAACAGAGAAATTTAAATTACACTGAATTAACCACAGTTATCCAAAAGAATAACTTTTTAATAAACATATGTTCCAAGGCCGATATAGTCAATTAGAATTGTATCTAAAGGGACTCTCATTTGTATTCCCTCCAAGTTCACTAATGGAAGTCCTCAATTTCTCCTATGGAATTGTGTTTTTGCTTGAATAAAATGTAAGTTCATGGTATTTTCAGCTCAGGGAGACTGGGGATGGAGAACTTTCTATTAATATTTAAGATAGGAAAATTGGTGATTTAAATCTGTATTTCATATACCAAACAAATTTATACTTCCTTCTATTCATACCTAAGCATCATTTCAAAGTTATTTGATTCCCCATCAGAAAGTCACTGAGCCAACGCCCCAGAGAACTGTAGTCAAGTGGTAGAGAAATGTCACTCACTACAGGTGCATTCTATTCCCTGAACATCCTGTGGTAGGGCGAATCCTTTTTTGAGAAGATGAAGACATGATATTAGAGAAAGAACTATATAGCCTGAGAATAAAAAACAAACACGAATCCTCTGCTTTAAAAAGAATATTAAGCATTTTCAGATTAGAGAAGTGATATGTTGATGTAAAAACCTCAGACATAGAGATAATGTTTAACAAGACAAACATTTTAATTACACCATTTTTAGTGCATTGGTAATTCTGTCATTAAGTGGACTTCTGGTTACCCATAAATATAAATATACATGCACATATATTTTGGACATATATGTGTATGTATATGCATGTATATATTTGGAAAAGGTTATATATATGGTATGCACATATGTATATAAACATTTTTACATTACAATGTGAATCTGTCCTTGACCTATGTCTACTTTTCAGTTTGTTATATAGATACACTATAATTTACTGAACTGCTCTTATTGGACATTTATCTTATTACTGCCCTGTATTATGACAAATAATGCTAGGTTAAAGATCCTATTACATTATGTGTATTTTTATTACAAGGATAAGGGTCAAAGTGTACAGAAAGAAAATGGATAATATTGTTTTTGAAACTGGGTACTGTATTTCCTACCAGAAAGTTTCTAGCAGGTTATATTCCAATAGCAGGGCATTATAGATACATTTTCAGTAGACTATGCCAAAAAATATGTATTCTAATTTGTTTTCTAATTTAACTGCTGAGGAGTGTACACTGTGTTTTAATTTGTATGATTGAAAACTAGTTATTTTTTAGTGTCAAAATTTATCTGTTTTTATTTCCTTTGTTATGAGTTGCCTTTCACAATTTCTATCTGGTTTTTGTCTTTTTCTTATTAATTTGTAAGAACAGCTCTTTATATATAAAAGATATTCATATTTATCATATATGATACACACATTTTCTAGATTTTTAGTTTCTTTATAATTATGTTTAATTGCATCCTGAAGAAAGAATTTTAAAGTTTTAACTAGTTTTGTCCATCAATTTTTGTTGATTTATTTTCTTGACTGGTAGGCTGAGAAAATTAGATCAGAAATTAATCCCACTTACCCATACTTTCTTACAGTTTTACCTTTGCACTCAAATATTTTACCCATTTGAGTGATATTTTGGTTTAAGACCTCAGGTGATTTTCAAAAATAATGAAATAATTTTCCAGTTCCATTTATTGATGAATCCTTCTGTCTAAATGTTAGATTCATAATACAAATACAGAGTATTTGAAGACTTTCTAGCCTGTTTCACTAGTTTGTCTATGTATTCAGAAATAACATATCATTTTAATTATTATTTCTCTATAGTAACACATTAATGCCTAAAGGAAACATCTAACTCTTTATTAATTTTTTTTCTCAGAACTGCGGCTTTGGTCTTCTTACCCATGTATTTTCCCACATGACCTGTAAAAGTTGCCTGTCTAGTGTTCAAAAACTTTATAGAATCATCCCTTATTTTGAATTCTGTTGAAGTGGTTCTGCACATAGTTCTCTTTAAGATGTTTTAGAAAATTTTTATAATTTTTAGTTTGTAGAATTATGCACTTTTTAAATTAGTATGTACCATGTATATATGAAATATGCATGTATAGTTTCCATGTATGTGCTTTATGTGTACATATATATTTGGATAACACATAAGAATATATGTTGTCTGTATTTACAAGGAATGTATATAAAGCAATATATATGTATATACATGTGCATCTAATACTTGCATTAAAAATTTTTAGCATCTATGCATGTAAAATTTTATCAACTTACTTTTTCCATTTGGGGAGTGGTAATTAATTTTTCTCTACCATATTGAGATTTTGCATTAGAATTATTTCTAAAATGTGCAGCTAGATTTAATTTGCACATAAGACTTGTAAATTTTTCTAGGAGATTGATCTATAGTTTAATTTTTGTTTGTTTCAAGCTCTGGAATCTGCTTTATGCTAACTTTGTAAAATATTTTGTATCTCTTCCTGTAGTTTTCATACTTTAGATGAATTTACATTTTATAAGGAATATTTTCACCTCAAAAATTTTAAAGAACTTAGTATAAAAATCTTGACCCTATATCCTTTTGAAAAAATCTATTTTCTGTAGTTGCTGAATTAATTTTTGCAGTAAATTTTCTTAATCTTTATTTAAAAGAAATGTTATTTTTTAGTCTTGTACAGGTATTTTGAGATACATTTAATTTTGGCCTTATATGAATATACTGAGACACATTTGGTTGTGTGTATGTTTTAGTTTTATTTTATTTATAATGCACTCTATTTGCCTTCTCCTATTCTCAATTATTTAATTATCTGAATACAGAATATAAAACAGAACAAAAATTCAACTGCTTTACCACTAGTGTCACTCAAAATGCATTATTTTTTACCTCCTTCCTCAATATCCCATCAAAATATTCCTGATTACATCTTACAGAATATTGTATTTACAACCTGCTGCAACTGTGCTGATTTTTTTGCTTCGTTTTTTTAGACAACTTGTTTGAAAAAGACAAATCTGCCTCTTAAGTATATTGCATCACAAAATGCTGTTTCCTCTTTCAGAACTGTTTCAAATCCCTTACAAGGGAAATTTCACTCTTCAGTATAGCATTATCCCACTTTTAAAGCAATCAGGGTATACAGATTTTTCACTTGGAAGTTTTCGGTATTTTTCATGTAAATTGATGCAGGGGACAAGCCCACAGAGAAAAAACATTTTTGCTGACAGACACCTAAATAAGGCAGGCAAGAACGAAACAAGAATAATCCATTCTTGATTAGAACCAAAATGTGAGAACAAAACACTGGTTTAAGGAAACAAAAACATGTAGAAAGTGGTTTCCATGAGTTACCTGTCGAAGGAGAGCAACGCTGCTCCGGACGTCGAGCCGCCAGTGGGCCGAACCCGCGCCCTCCCTCCGGCGAGCGCAGAGCAGGCAACCTACGGCCAGAAAACGGGCATAAGAAGGTGTTGCACTTGCCGTGTCAGTTCTTGCCAGTCTCTGCCACTGTTTCTTCTTGGCAATAAAATGGTAACATTGTTGCAGAAATGGTTCACTCTGCTTTCCATGGAAATTTCCTACTAATCCACAATCATGACAAGAATTATTATTTTATATTATAAAATTTTATTGGATCTAATTTTGAAAAGATTGGATACCTCTCATATTACGAACTCTTGCTATCCTATTATGTACCTTTATACTGAAATTTTGCTTCCTTCATATGCAATATTCATACTTTCAGATGTGTCCTGGGACCTGTTTCTCACTGGTTCTTGAATGAGATCTGTGCTAAGGGGTCAGTGCCTGCTCGCTTCTCAAATGTTTGAATACCTCCATGTGACTAACATACTATCTATATGATCTTTTTATAATAATTCTAGATTTCAGATTATGTGTGTCTTGTGTATTATTTTTAAGTAGAGATGGAGGCTGGGCAGAATAAATCAGTGAATAGAGCGGGCCTCCCTCGTCCATGGGGCGTGTGTTCCGAGACCCTTAGTGGATGCCTGAGGCCACAGACAGTACTAAGCCCCTGCATACACTATGCTTTCTTCCCGTACGTACACACCTATGGTGAAGTTTAGCTTATAAATTGTGCAAGGCAAGAGATTACCAATAACAGCAATAAAATAGAACAATTATAACAATATACTGTAATAAAGGATGTGAATGTGGTCCCTCTTTCTCTCAAACTATCTCTCTGCGCTGTGTCCCCCCCTTCCTGTGTGAATATGAGACGACAAAATGCCCGATGATGAGATGAAGGGAGGCGTTTGATGAAGCTGCTTTCGGCCTCCGACGATACATTAGGCGGATCATCTGTCCCGGGAGCGCAGGAGCCTCCGGGCACCTGGAACCCCGGACAGGGGACCTGTGCGCAGGAGGGACCTGGCCGCTGTGCTCCCGCTTCAGAGCGCCTTTAATTTACTGACATTCCACCTGTGTTTGCCAGTGTTTTGAGTGTCAAATGTAACGTATCTTAAAAGACTTCCACTTGGTTGTCTTTTTGCATTTAAGAAATGGAAGAAAATGGAAAAGAGAAAAAAATTGAAAACAGAAATTTCATTATTTACCCTCCAAGTTAAATCAATGCAAACCTTCTCTCTTGTGAGTTTGGATACATAATATGTAGCATATTTGTATCATTTGTTTTCAACCCAAGAGGCTTTTGAGAGTGGAAAGGAATAGTTTAACAATTACCCTAGGAAACCAGGACTATCCCAGCCAACGTGGGAAATATGGTTACTGTTGTAATATGCTTTTCTTTTCAAACTTGAATTTAGTTCCCTTTTTACCAAGTATTAAAAAAATAATGAAAAGTTCCTAGAAAAAGTTACATGATATTTTCTTTCCTTACTTTTTCAGTTTTTGTGAGTTTGCAACAAAGATTCTTAGCATTTGGTTGTTGTTTAAGGACCATTTCTTGGAATGTTTTAAATGCATAAAATACATACACTTATACATAAGACTTGTTATTTTGAGGTACAGGCATTAAAATATTAGAAAATGAATCTGTGGTGTAGTAATGTGCTGCTCTATTAATGCACAATATTGCACTTTCTAGCAGGTTGTCTAATTACTATAACTTTGAAGTAGTTTGAATTTTATGTTATAGAAAAATATTTATAGTTTGAATTGGCAACAAAATCATAGATCTGCTAATATTATTGAAATACATTGCCTCAATTATAAAGAGAGTAACCTAAATTTCAGTTAGAGATTAGTGAAAATAAAGATGAATTTCTTCCCTTCTAAATTCAAGTCCAAAATGATTAAACACAAGTTAGGGATGCTTGGCTTAGGATAACTGCAAGCAAGCCAAAATAGGACAAGAAACGATTTTCCCTACCAAGTCCTAACAACATTAGTGGTCTTATAAATTAACCCTTCTGTCACTGGTATCTTTGCCTTTCAGGAACACAGAAAAATGGGAAAAAATAATGCATACATGAATTTTCTGTAATACTTTGCTAAAATATTGGACTTAGTGTTCAAAAGATTCGTGATTCTGGATATTAGTTGTCAAATAACTAATAACACATTGTCACCTCTTGTTCTTGGCGATAGAACCCCTCATTTGCTTTATTGCAGCGAAGTGGGTAACACTTTATTATTGCTTTTCTTTGATGAGCTGTAGCTCTTGTACGACAGTTAACAACAGAGCCCAGATCTACATCAGTCAGCGCTTCAAATATTGGAAAATATGGTGCATTTTTCTGAATTTAAATGACACGTCAAACTTCACGCTAATTAGCACAACTGCATCATTTCAGTCACCTGGCAATGAACTATGATGGGTCAGCTTTGGAAAGTGAAGGGACCCTGGCACATTTCAAGTGAAAGGACCACAGCACTTCTAGTAGGAATTTTTTTAAGGTCAGAGGTGCCCTTACTTATTTTCAGAAACATTTTCAATACAATTAAGGGAGGATCACATTTTTTCACATCATCAATTTGCTCAATATGTTTTCAAATTAATCCAAATGAAACCTCTTCAACCCATCTGCTTTTTAAGATGTAAAATGCTAAGAATTCACCTGAATCATTCCTTACACAATGCACTGAATGGAGAAGTAATTAAACTGTGTACTCTTTGCCTGAATATCCACAGCAAATGGGAAAAAGAGATTGTGGATTAAAACACATATGTGAACAAACAGATGTTTCCCAGATGAAGAATGAATGGGGTAGTATATGGTTTAAAATGTCCTCTCTAGAATTAGCTGAGACATATGCTACACACATAGAAAAAGTCAAAAACAAAGGAAAAGCAGCCACAATAATACTCTGACTAGTAGTATTTCTCGAGAACCTAGAAAACATTTCCCCTATAAGGTCAATGGACCAAACAAA